AATGAAGTTGGGGACTACCAGATGCCAAAGGCAGGGGGGCAGAGGCCTAACTGTCCAAGATGGGGTTGTGGTCAGGAGGACGGACCAGTGCTGAGGGGAGCAGTGGGCATGGCCGCAAGCCCTGTGAAAGCACTTACTGCCGCTGAAATGTGCGCTTCAAACTTGTGAACAGGGGGTATTTCATGCTTGGTATTTTTTAACACAATGAAAAATGGGGGGTAGGTGAGAAAATATCCTGCCCTAAGAGGAAAACATTAACATTAAAATCACTGAAATGAAAATCACAGTCTTAAGACCAGCTCCTACTTTGATGAGTGATACTTTTGAAGCTTTATGTCGAATTCCACCAAGCTGTCGCTTTAGGGTTTATATTTCATGAGTGAGAAGGTGTGTGTGACTATTCTTATCCACAGCATACGCTCCTCTTTGAACTGGCAGGTGAGTAGTAGTCAATGTGGGTATCGTTCTAACAACGCTGTCAGAGGAGAAATAACACGGTTGTGACATCAAGAGAAGAGTTTTATTATACACATTACCTTGAAGTAACACTTTTGCCAGGAGATTCAAAGTGGCATTCACGTGGTGCATGATAGAAAGACACTGAGCTAAACTGCATTAGTCACGTACGCTCCTGACAGTTCAACAGCCGGAGGTAGGAGGACGTCATCACCTGGGAAGATCATCCCACCCCAACGTCCTGTTTGGAGCGCAGATGTATTCAGTGATGCTGTCTACTCTGGTTGTACCTAGACCACTCCTTTTTATGGACTTTGTCTTCTATGTAATTTTTAAACTCCTTTTTATAAAGCCATTTTTGTGTGTGCATGAGGTCTGTCTGTTTACATTGCCTTGTACTCCAAACCCAAATCAAAAACATTTTGAATTTGAAAACATGACTCGCTTGTGACATTGAAACTTTTCCCACTCTTTTTCAGCTACTATAACATACGTAAGAGTTTTCTGGGAACGTTTTAATACACCCAGAAAGCCTGGTGTGCGCCTGTGCCGTTGCATCCGTTTCAGCCTCGCCGCGTTGGTGCTTACCGACGTTCGCTTTCATCTTCTGCACCAGCTCCATGTAGGCACACCGCCAACTCCAATTATTCTGAGTACTGGTCGTGCCAGCCCTCCTGGGCAGCAAAAGGAACTAACAGTCTCTGGTCTGCCCTGCAGGGTCTCTAAGCACTTGTTGATTCTCCACGTAGAATAGTGAGTATTCGCACATCCCTGGTCTCTTCAGAGAGCCTAGAGCACTCAGATTTTCAAACATTCAGATAGGACTCTGGTATTTGTTGAAAGCCTTCATAGAAATATGGAGACGGAGTCTCGTCCATGCGTCTTTCTAGCTTGTACTGTTTTATCCTCAGAAGCCTGCACCTCGTAAGTGGGTAAGAATTTGGAAGAAAGTCTAAGATGTGATAAGCATTTTTATCTATTCAGGGTTTAGTTAATGGAAATAACAGATAATGAGCAGAGTGGATAAAGGGCAAGCCATCATGTCTCATGTCTGACATCTATACTGCTACTGTCAATAAGACACTGTATCTCCAGATATCTCGCCATACAAAGTGGACAGATTTACAAAAAGACACCCCACTATATACAGATACAATGGAAGAAAACAAGTCACCGAGCAAACAATCACCTCAAGGTGCAGAAGAATATGTAAACATAAGCCCATTATGTAAAAACACAAACCCCAGAACTAACTGCTCTATGTACGCTACATGTGTGCTCTCTTCTGTGCACGTAGCTGTGGCCCACATCAGAGCCATTTTGTCTTCTGAGAGGGCTGGTATCTCTAAAAACAGGTGACACTGCTCTAAAGCGCAGAAAAGCTGGAGAAAGGCGAATTTCATAGCCATATCTGTGGAAATAAAATGACTCCAATGCTGCCTCAAAGATCCCTAGGAATCCCCAAGCACTACTCCTATAAGTCTAGATTATTGAGGTCGCTGGGATGGTCCCCATTATTTGTAACAGGTAAAGATGCTGAGTCCCAACAGACTGACTAACTTGTCTGCCATGCTCTACTACTCAGAATAGCAAGCCAGTCTTCATCCAGTTACCCTTTCACCAAGCCTCCGCTGCTTCCCTCAATTTCTAGGAATTACATGTTACCTATAAAACTTGTGGCTCAAATAGTGAAAATTCATCATCAAGCATTATTGCGGGGGTGAGGGTGGGGAATTATGCCTGAAGGTGAAAAAAATGGCAGATTGACAAGAGTGGGTCAGTACGTGGGACTGTTTTCATACAGTGTGGCATGTTTCAGTTAAAACCATCTAGTTTTACAGCCTGTTTCCCTTCAGTCTGGACAGTCAGCTTAACCTAACGACTGGAAAATATTCATGAAGTTCTATTTTTCCTATATTCTTAGCATATCTATTGCTTTATCTAGAAATAAAAGATTGTTTAGCTAACTGCTGATCTGGGTGATAAATGTTGATATTTACATGTTACACGTAGCTGCAGTGTAAAAACGGTAAAACTGAAAAGATAAAAGTTTCAATGGTAGAGAGGATCTTATGGAAAATTGTGCCCACAATGCACTGCTGAGTTTGCTGGATTAAGGAATGTAAACACAGAAAGTGTTTAGACACTTGACCATAAATGATGCAAGTCGAGTCTTTGTTCCTGCAATGAAGTTGGCCACAGTCGAAAGAGCGAACAGCTCACATGGTTGCTCAACTCTGAAGGGGGAGTTTCTGAGGTTCCCATCTCGACTGCACTTTGACTACCATGTCAGTCCCCCCACACACCCCGAACTTGTGCTCAACAAGTTGTTGAGTGGTATTGGAAAAGTGAAACTTTTTCTTTCAAATCATTTTTCATTTATTCACTTACATGATATCCAATTCTAACATAATATATACTATTATGTTTATTCCATTTTCAACCAATTTTAATCAACAATATCTACAAATGTGCATTTCAAAGGACAACAAGTGGGAAAACTCTGAAATAAATTAACTGGCTACAGTAACTGAATCCTGGAATTCAGAAGTGAAAGGAACCTGAGAAAGTAACTTTTGGGATATTTCTTTGCCAAAGATCAGGAAAGACTCCCTTCTCCTTGCTAGTCTTCAATGGCTAATACATAGATAAGACGCAGAAGGCTTAGAACGCAGAACTGACATGGGTCAGAACAATTTTCCAACAGTGTCCCTTTATTTCAAGATAATGTGAAGTAATGTTTAGATTCTCTCCATGTTGGTTGCTGGGTGTCTACTGGTGACATTTCTGAGTTATTTATCAGGAGAAAAGGAGCTCTTGGTTCTTCCTCTGCCATGTCGCCCAACACCCACTCTTTTAGGAAGAGCCAAAGAAGGCTCAGGAAGGTCAAGTTGTATATATATATATATATAGGCACTTACCAGTCACCTGCCTTCCTCTTTGTATACTAAGTAATTCCTACTCATAATGCCTGGTTAGAACTCTGCCTTTCTGACTTGGGGTGCTGAGAGCATGCTTTTACTTTAGGTGTACCACTGAAACTCCCCATAAGATATAGAACATGAATTCATACAGAGTCTCTCTTCTTGTACATTCTTCTTGTGTAACTTACACAGATTATCTCTTTGGTACTGAACATCCCACTTTAGGAAATCATGTGCTCTTAGATATCATCTATCAAATGCATCTTCTTCCCTGATGAAGGAGAGCTAGTCATCAGGCAAATGGTCCGTCCAGAAGTGTATTCACCTGCCAGTCAAAATTGCCCAAAGTCCCCCCTAACACACCTTCCAGGGAGGCTGGTGTCCCCTTCATGGTGTCTCCTCAGTGTTTGATCACCGAACCTCCCTGAACTCTTGAAGTTAGTAGGCCAGGGTGAAAGGCTACTTCTGAAGTGTCTCTTCACATTCTTGGGCAGTCTCTTTATATCAAACCATGAACAACTCTACTAAACGCTTCTCCGGTTGTCTCAGCTCTGTTTCTGAAGTGAGCTGAGAGAACAATCTCTCTTGATTTCCATTTCCGTACATCTTGACCCGTGCACTTTTTTTTCCTGTACAGACTTTTTATAAGCCCTTTATAAAGCTCCATGTTCTCAGGAATACTCTACCATCAAAGATGCTTCACATAGTTATCAGACTCGTATTAGCTTTGAAGGAAATAAAATGACTTTAGCAGGGGCTAAAGTTAAATCTGTAATGCCTTCCAGCTGGCAGCAAGTTCATTTATGCACACACATGCACACCCATACTGCCCATATTGATCACTGCTGATTCCACGGTCTTGTTTGTAGCTTCCAAAACTTTACTCTGTGCTGGGAAGCTCACCCTTGGAGACATTTAGCTCGCTTAACTTTTATATACAACCTCAGTTATGTGTGAGTCTTCCAATTTATTTCCACATCCTCAGGACTGTGATATTTTATTTACAACTTTATACTAAGCGGTTCACGATTTTTGAAGTAACTAGTTACACAAGGTATTGCGGAGGAGTAACGAAGCAGCTTAGCTAAAAATGATCTATTCCACCGTCGCTTTACTCCTCTGGGTTCTGACTGTGACGTGAAAGACCATTACCTGCAACTGTTTTCCATTTTACTGAGTTTTATGTCTAAGGAAACAGGAATCAGGGGCAATTATTTCATTAACAGGGACAAACAAAGTTGGAAGATATTCCAGTTATTAAAGACCTTCTGACAGGAAAGCAAGCGTGTCCTGAGGAGTTCTGAACCGTGGCAGTACTCCCTTTACCACCTGCCCGGAGACAGCTTACTGCCTAACACAGTAGCACCGGGGGCTTTCAACACATGCCATGACCCCCCAGTGTCCTCTACCTGACCTGGTACAAATATGTTCTCTCACACCCTTTCTTGCTAGAGTCTCACGGGACTCTGACCTTTGGACCCAACTGCACCCGATCTCCTGAGAACACCCTGGAGACATGGGGGGGCCTCTCACTTATCAATAATAACCTGCAGTGGCAGTGTTTGTAACGGAGAACCTGAGACTCAGAGTGCTTCACACATCCATGTTTTCATTTAACAGAAAAGATGACCCCCCAGGCCGGATGTTCTGCTGGGGAGAGTCCAAGCCAGGAGGACGAGCATCAGATGCAGAGAATGATGGCAAAGCGGTCCAAGATCATCAAGGAGCTGATCCAGACAGAAAGGGACTACCTGAATGACCTGGAGCTGTGTATTCGGGAAGTGGTTCAGCCCTTGAGAAGTAAACAGGTAAATGTGGCTCCAAGCACCCCCTACCCCCACCCCACCCCTCATCCACCACAGGGTCACTACAGCAGGAAGTTCCAGCACCAGGTGGAAGAAATGGGCCTTCCCAAGGATCTGGGCACAGGACGGACCATCATGGTCATACTTAGGCAGCAGACACTACACTCACTCCCTTTGGCAAAGAAATCACACTGCACGTGTCGAGAAAGGAAAGTCACTGTTGCTGCCACTTTGGCATTTCACTGTGTTCTTTCTTGGATTCCTATAGAACTGGCGACAAGGCACGAGCAGCAGGTTTTCAGCAGCGCAGGACCCAGCCGCCTTATTTTACTCAGAGGTGATAAAGGAGTTAGGAAACAAAAATATGTGGGTTCACCCTCAGACACGCCTTTTGAGAGTTCGATTAAGCATACGGATATTTAGGTCAGTATAACTCAACAGAGAAATCACCCTGCTGTAAGATTAAAAAGTTCCTCTTTGGTACAAAGATTGAAAGGTACAAAGATGTTTCTCATTTTCTCTCTCTGTCTCTCTCTCTCTCACACACACACACATACAGCTATTTCATTCAGTCAACACCTATTTATTAAGTGTTGATGCATCACTGGCACTAGGGTTGCAGTTCTGCATGCAAAGTCCTGCCCTGGAGGAGATTACTTTCTTTTCTTTTCATTTTTTTAAAGGTTTATTTATTTGTGCATACAGAACTGAGGTACAGGCCAGAGGGGCAGGGGCGGCGAGAGGCTTCACCAGAGACAGAGTGGGGAGCAGAACAGGCAGATCGATGAAGTACACTGCTGAGGGGAGCAGCAGGGAGACAAGAGAGGTCTGCTGTGCCATGTGGGTCACCTCCCTTGCCAGGGGTCGAACTTGCGCTACAGTGGCTGTGGATAGCTTCACCGTGCTGTGCTTAGCCTCTTGTACCACCAGGGAGGGCCCAAGGAAATTACTTTCTAGTGGGAGAGTGAAGAATAAGAAAATACAAAAATAAACAAACAAGGGAAAGTGAAAATATATCACACGGCACAAAGGACAGTTGGAAAGACTAACACAGGGACAAGACGTGGTGAGTAGGGTCAGAGAAGTGATGCTTCTATTTCAAGAACAGTGGTGAGAAATTGTTTCCAATGGAGGCTTGCTCGCTGAGCAGGACACATAGGAATGAAAAGGTGGTCCAAGCAGAGGGGGAAAGAGCAAAGATCCCGAGGAGCAAGAATAGAATCATGCGTGTGGTCCTCATTCACAATTCAAATACACAGCAACATAAACAGAGGTGTCAAGATGATCAGATATCCCACTTCTCAAAGATAGCCACCATTCGCATGGTGAAATATCCTTCCCACATCGGTTGAGGCACTAGATACACACACAGAATCCACATGGGGAGTTCTACAGAAATGTCCTTTGCACAAGCAAGTTTGTACAAGCAATTCTGTAACATACTGATTTCACTCAGCAATCTGTTGAATGTATCTTTTTATGATTTCTAACTTAGAATGTTTTTATACTATTACTGATGCTCAGATACACAAGTTTGAACTGTTATCACCTTATCTTGTTAGAATAAATTCCTGAGTGGAATTGCTTGGTTGAAGGATATGCCTATCTCGGATTTTGATTAAAAACTCACCTATTAACAACCAGAGTGTCCACACGGTTTTAATTTCCACTGCATTCACACTAACTGGTAAGGGACATCTCTGCATCTTTTAAAGCTGTGTATATCCCCTATAAAGTTGATTCAGTAACCAACAAAGGAAACCAGCTTCCTTTGATTCTATCTGACAAATATCTTCTTATATATTCAAAAGCCATTTTTCTTCATTCCAATCCCTATTCATATCCATACATTTGCCTTTAGAAAATTTTGTTTTGCATTTTTTGTTTTACAAAACCTCTTTGTACATAAGGAATGTTCTTTCTCCACCCCACATACCACAGCTAAAATTCTATAGTTGTCTTTTACCTCCTAGCCTTGTTTAATGTTTGTTTTTGCAATGTTTAAGTAGTCAAATATATTGAACTTTATGTGTTCTGGGTTTGAGAGAGTAACATGCACCCCATGGCTATACAAATATTGCTAGCCAGTTGTCCTGACGTCAACTATGAAATCTGTCTCCCAGTGTTTGCAGCACCCTGAAGCACAGTTTATACTTCTTAACACAGGGCTGTTTTCAGAAATACCGCAAAAAAACATCTGGCCTACAAATTAGGAAAAACCTATGTAGAGCAAGATGACTTTTGATATAAAAGGCAATAATATATGAAAAAAAGTGGCAAAGGAGACTTGTGATTTTCCTTCTTAGGAAATGACCTTTAGTTTTACCCTTCATGATTTGTGGGGGTTTTACTTAGTAGGTATCAGGTCCTGTTCCAAACACTTCATTAATATCTCATTTAATCCTGTCATGTTCTCCAGCAGAAAGTAAGTGGCAAGTCCCAGACTATCTGGAAATTTATTTTTAATTTTGAAAAATATAGGGTTAACAATCATGGTCATGATGGGGCTCTCCCTGGTGATGCAACGGGTTAAAGCACCACATTATGAAGCTCTCCAAAGCCACTGCAGTACAAGCTCTATCCCCCATTAGGGAGCTGACCCACAGGGCGCAGCAGACCTTCCTGACCCGCCCACTGCTCCCCTCAGCAGTGCACTTCAGTACATCTGCCTGTTCTGCTCCCTACTGTGTCTCTGGTGAATCCTCTCCCCCCCCACTCCCACACCTCTGGCTTGTACCCCAGTTCTGTAAGCATAAATAAATAAATCTTTTTTAAAAAAATCATGGTCATGATAAAAATCTACTCTCTAGTTTTATTGCTATTATATAAAAATATTTAAACTGTGTTTTCTTTCACTTAATATAAACTAGCTACATCGGATATAGCCAGGCTGACAACTGTTAATGTCATGAACTATTGATCTCAGGGCACCCAGCCTCACCATCCACCAAGGTCGCCCTGGATGGTGCCGCCTTGCCAGTACCCCCGGGCTTTGTAACTTGTAGCGCCTCACCCATCGTCTCGCTCTTCTCTTGCGCCCTAATCAATCCTAGCCAGTATAAGTGATGCCAATATTCATACAATGGTATGTGCAACTTTCAAGCCTCTCACTTAGTTCCGGGACTGTGTACCTCTTGCCATCTTGCCTCATCTCAGCCTCTCTCTTTAGGGTCATACCTGACCCTTCAACTCAGAAGTTCAACTTCACCTCTACATCCTGGTTTTCATCTAACTCCTACTCTCTCCCCATTCAGTACAGGTACCATAACGCACCCCCACCAAAGCGTCCACGTCCATCCCACAGCCCATTGTGCTCTCCCTCTGATGCACCAGGCCCTCCAGACGACAGACTTCACCACCTTTTTGCTATAGGAGTCTACACCTCACTGCAAACCAACCCTTGCAGATGGCTTGTCTTTTTTCTCTTAATCTTTCAGTTTACACCAATGAAAAAATATATTGTCAGTCCCAAGGCAGCTAAAACAATGTTTAAAATTCCAGACAATTTTCATTCCTAATCTTTCCCTTTTAAATTGAATGTGAAATGTATATAAGCATGTGTGACTAAAAGTTTCAAAAATAAGTACAATTTAACGAAAGTGCTCCCTGTAAGGAGCTAATGATGAATATAAAGAAGAGTAGCTATATAAGAAAATTACTTGCTTTGAATTCATAGTTCCATTTTTTTTTTACTAAACGGTGTGAGAAACAGATTCAGCATGAAAACATGGTCAGTTACTCTGGCCCCACAGATAGAAACGCCGTTGTGGGCCTGGACTGCACTGTTTTGTTTTTCTGTTGTTTTTATTCTGCACTCTTTATGGCACTCTTAAAAGCATTTCTCAGAGTTGGAGTTTCAGATCACGTAAATGAGAACATTTCCATGCCAGTGGCAGGTACTTTACTTGGCACGTTCAGCCAGTGCTCCCACCACTGTGAGTCAGTTCTCACAATTCTCATTTCCTTGGTTATTCTATTCTGACTGCTTAGATCTTGTTGACTCTTCACACCTGGCCCTTCTCTAGCTATCTCCAAGTTCCTTCTCCTTGTGGAGTTTAGTTTCAGGCCACTCATGTATTTGTCCTCTCCACTAATGTTGAAATAGTAATTACTGAAATGTTTTTCAGAGTTCTCATGTCAGATCTACCCTTTCCCCCAGTTCCTGATACTTCTGCACTTTGCTTAAGTAAATTAACGCTCAGAAACTCACGTGACTGGTGAACCCTGACAGGAGTGTTGAAGTAGGCAGTGGCAACCACCAGTTCATTGACTTCACTCCCTCTTTAGTATTCAGTAGCTCTTTCCCGTCCTCCTGTCCCTCCAAAGTATTTAAATATGCACAGATGCCACCCATTATCAGCTAGTGTCAAATTTATCAATTCATATGTATGGTTTCATGTAACAATCAGCAAACCAGGTTTAGCTAAAGCTGAAGGCACTGGAAGGAAGTAATTCACACGGCCCGGCTGCATTTGGCTATGACCTTAGGAATTCATGTGAGACATGCCTTTCTCTCTGCATCTTCTCTCTCGTGGAGGAGATGGTCCTTGCTCCACTGTATGGTCACCACAGCTTATATCTATGCATCCAAGCCAACACTTTTCAGTCCTAGAAGAAATAAATCAGTTTATGTAAGTGAAATTTCGAAGGAAGAGACAAAGACGAGAAAAGCACCGGACTTATCTGAATGACCTTGAAGCAGGTATCAATGAACAGGTGACTGTCTAAACCAAGTTCTACTGTTAACTTCTGCGATAATCGTGGCTTTTCTGTGAACAGAGCTTCACTAACTAAAAGCAGAGTGAGACCCAGCAATTACATCTGCTGTAAAAGTAGCACTACAAGAGGTTCTTTAAAGCGGGCCAAAGTTACCCACAACACTGTTGAAACATTTAGTGGGAAAACGGGTTCCAGTTATTTACTATCCAAACAGGCAATAAGACTACTTTTGGCAGCAAGTCAAAATAAATCAAACTAAGCAAACAGTAGAAAAAGGTTTTATG